TAGTTAAGCCCTTATATAAGAGAATACAAGCAAGTATGTTAAAACCAAACATATGTGTGCTACTTTTGGTTCATAAGTAGGCTAGAGTATTAGAGGTCATGCAGCTGCATTCCGCGCTCCAGGAAATTCTGTGTTGCTCTCTTCCGAGAGCTTTGGTTTATAGTCTCTGGGTCTTGGCCATTGATGAGATTATATGGCGCTGGGGGCAGTTTGTGGGTGTGACTGCCAAGCTACTGGAAAACTGGGGGGCTGGGGGAAGGAGGTCCAGTCCTGATCCGAATGGGTTTGGAGATCTCAGTCATGGGTTCCCACATACCTGGGTTTTTCTGCCTGTTCCCACTTGGGTGGGGCTCATCCGAGCATGTGGAGGGCGGCCTTGAGCAAAATTTTTTAAAAAAGAATAATGACTGCAAATCTGGTTCCCAGGGCTCAGGCAGCACCATAAGGGGAACAGCCACTAGCGCCCCCTGTCAGATATGGTCAGCATGGCAGGGCTTTTATTTTCTTTCCCATCTACGTTTTCATCCTCAAAACGTTTCCCCTCGTGCTACAGTTCTTCGGTGGGTGGGATCCTGTGGCCAGCGTTGCCGGCGGGTGACCTGAGCCTGTGGCTTTGGTGAGGCCTGTGCTCCCCAGCTGCAAAGTGCAGCTAGATGCCAGGACTCCCCACACCCAGCCCTGTGTCCTCAGGAGGGTCCTTAGGGGTGTGGTTGAAAGGCAGGGGAGGGGATTAGGGGGGAGGGGAGAGAGAGAGGTCCCACTGCCCAGCTGTTAGCCACGTTGCTACCTCCCAGCCTCAGTTTCCTCTCCTGAGGATGTTTATCCCACCCGGATTAAACTACTGGGAGAACTGGATAGAAGGCAGAGGAGGGAAATCAGCAGGGCGAGCCTCTCTCCGACCCACGCCCCATCCCTGCCCGGTGAGTGCTCTGGGGCAGAGCCAGTAGCAGGGAGAGGAGAATCAGGCACCAGGGCAGACCATTCTCGCCTCACGCAGTCAGGGAGGAGGTACTGGAATTGGTACTGGGTGGCAGGGTGCAAGTGGGATGGTTAACCACGACCCCTTCTCTGCATGTGTGGCCCTAGGGATCCCTCTGTCCCCTTGCCTCATGTGGTCTGGGGTGTTGCCATGGCTGCGGGTCTGCTTTAGGCAGTGCAACAAACTTTTTAAAGTAAGGTCCCAGCTGTCCTTTCTCTGCAGTGGCCCTTGTGGACCTGTGGGGAGATGTTGGCACGTGAGCTCCGTGGGCCGCTGAGGGGATGCTCTGGGTGTGAGCAGGGGCGTCTAGGGGGAAGCTACTGGTTCCCATGGTGCCCATAGGGGTAGGCTGGGCCTCTGGCCAGCTACTCCTCATGTGTGGGAGTGAGAGGCCCACGAGACAGGGCATAGATTGAATCATGAGCATTAGGAATAGTGCAAGGGAGTCCCCAGAAGGAAGGATCGGGAAGCAACCTAGAGGTGGTGCCAGTGGCACTGGGCTTTGAATGGTGAATAGGACTTTGCCACATGGAGAAAGAAGGCTGAGAACACAGGGGGTCTGGAATGGGCCTGGTGCACCCGAGATCACCCTGCTCCGCCCCATTCAGCCCCTCCACACTCCTGGCCACTCACTCACTGCCAGGTCTAAGGGTGCTGATGTGAGCCGGCAGCACCCACCTGCAGTGAGAGCTGGGCTTTCTCCACTTGCTGGCCCAAGGGGTGGCCCTCACTGTGGGAAAGAATCCCCAAGGTCCTCACCCAAGGTGAGCACTCCAGGACACACCCCAGACGGGTCTGGGGGACGGGCCCTGGCATCCTGCAGCGGCTTAGAGTCGATATTCATATTAGCTCTTTCTCCTTCCTGATTTTACCCCCCCCACACACACACACACCCTCCCTCCCACTTCTGCTTTCTGGGGTGACTTTCGATGGACCGTTTGCAATCCAGCACCTTTCTCAGGCTCGGCTTCGGGGAGATGAGATGCTGGTGGGGATCCAGGGCTGGGTGTGTGTGTGTGTGTATGTAGTGTGTGACTGTGTGCGTGCATGAGTGTGTGGATGCGTGGGAGTGTGTGATTAAGGATGACTGTATGTGTGAGCATGTGTGCAAGTGCAGAAGTGTGGGAGCATAAAAGGATGTGAGTGGGTATGAGTGTGTATACAATGTATGTGTACCTAAGTTGTGTGTGTGTGTGTTGTGTGTGAGAATGTATGCATGTATATATGTGTCTGTGCATGTGTAGCACCTTTCTCAGACTCGGCTTCGGGGAGATGAGATGCTGGTAGGGGTCCAGGACTGGGTGTGTGTGTGTGTGTGTGTGTGTGTGTGTGTGACTGTGTGCGTGAGTGTGTGGATGTGTGTGAGTGCATGATTAAGGATGACTGTATGTGTGAGTATGTGTGCAAGTGCAGAAGTGTGGGAGCATAAAAGGATGTGAGTGGGTATGAGTGTGTATACAATGTATGTGTACCTAAGTTGTGTGTGTGTTGTGTGTGAGAATGTATGCATGCATATATGTGTCTGTGCATGTGTATGCATGTATGTGTCATGTGCATGTGTGTGCGTGTGCATGTATGTAGAGCTGGGAGCCTTATCCATGGGCACAGCCCCCATCTGACAGGGGCACACACAGGCCTGTGGAAAGCCCTCTCTCTACACATCTCCCTTCTGACTGGGGACATGTGACAGGAGGGGCACCAGTGGCGTGTGTGGGCCAGAGTCGGTTCCTTCTGCCTGTGGTGTGTGTGTGCCGTGGGCAGTGGGCAGCAGATTGATGCTCCTAATCCCATTTGGCTCAAGCTGATATGAAGTATGTCTCATTCTCAGAGGCGGACGCCAGAGTGGCAGGTGCCAGGGGCATGCTGGGAACTCTGGACAGGCAATCTGGGATCTTAAATGTCCCGGAGAGATGCACGTGGATGAGTCCAGGCCGGGGGGATGGGCACCTCCTGTTCTTGACTTGCTTCCAAAGGCAGAAGAGTCCTGGAAGTGCCTTCAGGGGCATCTTCCTGGCGGGGCTCGTGCAAGCAATCAGGAGGATGTTCGCTGTGGGAAACCACTTCATCAGCTGCAGGTTAAAGTTTATTTTGCGGGACTTGGTTGGAGGGGTGGGACGTTCTCTGAGTGCTGCTGGGCTGGACACGGGAAACCCAGGGCCTCCCAGCAGCGTCTCCTGTAATGAGATCAGACACTGAGACTCAGAGCAAAGGGCCAAGGGCTGGGTTGGGGGCTGGGTGCGAGGAGCACAGCGAGAGGTGGGGGGACCAGAGTCCTGTGGAGGAGGCGGCCGCCTTCCCTAGGGCGACCAGGGTCAGACTGTGCCCTGGCACGTGTCCCCATACAGAATGAGAGTCGTCACTCTTCAGAGCGCCTCAGCTGACACCTGCGAGAGGCCCAACAAGGCAGCGCATCTGAGTGAACAGATACCAAGTGCGGAAGAGCCCACGTGCAATACTGGCTCTGCCCCCTTGGGGGCAGATCCCACCCGACCACCTGCTGGTCCCTTCAACTGGCCTGGCGGGTTATTTATTGTTGCTGGGCTGGAGCAATAGCACAGCGGGTAGGGCGGTTGCCTTGTATGCGGCCAACCTGGACAACCCAAGGTTCGATTCCTCTGGCCCTCTCGAAGAGCCCGGCAAGCTACCTCGCCTGCACAGCAAAGCCTGGCAAGCTACCCATGACATATTCGATATGCCAAACACAGTAACAACAAGTCTCATGATGGAGACAGCACTGGACCCGCTAGAGCAAATCAATGAACACCGGGAGAACAGTGCTACGGTGCAGAGACACACCCGGGCTCCTGAAGAGTGGCCCGGCAGCTTGGTATTGGGGTACCACATGACCTATTTGAGGGAGGGGGAGCACCACACAGAAGGCTGGGGCAGGCAGGTGCCCATCTCACCCATCACACCACTCCTGTCATGCCCCTCTGGTCACTCCTATCACGCCCATCACTCCCATCATGCCTGTCATGCCCATCACTCCTGTCACTCCTGTCCACCTGCCAGGCTCCACAGATGCCCCTCCAGCTTCTGGGAAGTGTCTCCTGTGGGTGCCCTGTGGTGATTTCCCGAGAGTAGGTCGTGGTCCCTCTCTAGGATGCTCTAACGGTGAAGTGTCCACCCGTCACAGCTTTTTTTCGGGGCAACTGACTGCTGCCCTTGTGTGTGCCCGTCCCTGGCCTCAGTGTGTGCCCCTGCTCTAGGCTGGGCATCCCGACACTGGCCCTGTGCGGGATCAGGGTGCGGGAGCCATAAAGGGTACTGACTCAGAGGGCCCTGCGGGGTCGGGGTGGGGGGTGTCACTGCGGGGTCTGGGTCTGGGTCCGGGCCGCTGCGGGGAGGGAGTACTGCGGGATCTGGGTCCTGGGCGCTGCGGGGTTGGGGTCGGGATCGCTGCAGGGTCAGGGTCAGGATGCGCTGCAGGGTCAGGGTCGCGGTGGGGGTCGCTGCGGGTTCCAGGTAGCTGCGGGGAGGGGGCGCTGCGGGGTCCTGGGAGCTCCGAGTGGGGATCGGGGTGCGCTGCGGGATCAGGGGGCACTTCGGGGTCCGGGGCGCAGCGGGATCAGGGTCGCTGCAGGGTCAGAGTCGAGGTGGTGCGCTGCTGGGTCCAGGTCGTGGTGGGGGTCGCTGCGGGTTTTCAGGGCACTGAGGGTTCCGGGGCGCTGCGGGGTCGGGGTCCGGGGTCCTGTGGGGTCAGGATCCCGGGCGCTGCGGGGGGGGGGCGCTGCGGGGTCGGGGTTCAGTGGGTGATGCGGGGAGGGGTGCGGCGCTGGGGGCCCCGCGCGGGCCGTGCCCGCTGCTCCCCTCGGGCCGGCCTGCAGCGGCGCGCTCGGCCCACGCGCAGGGGGCAGCCCGTGCCGTCCCGCGCCCGTGCCCGCGGCTCGGGCGTGACTGCACCAGCGTCCCCCGGCGGCCGCCCCGCGTCCGCGTCGGCAGGTGCCCGGGCCCAGCCGCGTGGCGCCCGCGGGCTGAGGTGGGGCCGGGAGCCGGGAGGCGCGTCCCCGTCCCCGCCGCGCCCGCGGCCCCCGCCCCCCTTTGTCGCGGCCCCGGCCCCGCTCCCCGCCCCCACGGCCCGCTCCTCGCTCCCTTTCTTCCTGCCTCGCCTTCCTGCGGCGCGCGGCTCATCCATTATAGATGCTCACTCGGGGCTGACATCAGCGCCGGGCGCCCACGGGCCGTCCCCGCGCGCTGCCCGCCCCGCGCGGCCCCCCGGGTTCGCCGGAGCCTCCCCGGGCGCGGGGCGCGCGCCCACCGCCGCCCGCGCCTCCCGGAGCCCGGTGCCCGCCGCCCGGAGCGCCTGCATGACTGTCACAAAGGTAAGACCCGCGGCTGGGGAGGGGGCGCCGCCGGGAGTGGCGGGGTGGGGTGGGTGGGCAGCGCGTCCGGCCGCGGTCCCGCGGGCCTCGCCGCCTCCAAGACTGCGGAGAGAAGGCGGCGCGGCGGGGAGGACCGCGTCCCCGCGCACCGGGCCAGCCCCGGGACTGCATTTTTAACCCTTGTGGATGATGCTGCCTGGTGAACCCCCGAAGAGGCAGCGCTGGGCAGTGCCACCGTGTCCCCCGGGAGCGCGCTGCGGGGCCGCGCGGGGCGGAGGATGGGGCCGGGACTCGGCTCCTGGGAAAGCCCAGCGCCCGGGAAGGTTGCCCCACCTGCCTGCCCTGCACCCATCCGGGAACTCTGGGCCGCTTGGATGCTTGTGGGCGCAAAGGAGACCCCGCCCCGAGAGGGGGTGCCTTGGAGGCCTGGGGGCAGCCGGTGACAAGGGAAGGGGAGGCGACCAGACCGTCCGGAGGTGATGGGCTGGTGGGAGGTAAGAGACAGGGGGAATCTCTGTCCCACTTCGAGGCCTGAGTTTCTGGAAAGGCCTGGGGACGCCCCTGCTGTGGTGAGGAAGGAGTTAAGGGGGAGCCAGGGCGGGCTGGGGGTGTGGGAAGTGGCTGAGATGACAGAGCTTCCTGGGCCCGGCTGCTCCGGGCCTCAGTTTCCCTCGTGGAGAGCGGGGAGGTGGTGAGAGGATGCCCCAGTAAGATCCAGGGGTGTGAACCCAAACTTTCAGGACTTGCCGGGTGCGGCCTTGGCTCTGTGGGGCCTGGACTCACGGCCAAGCTTCCCTGCAGTCAACTGGCTGTCCGGGGCGGGAGCAAAGGCCCAGGCAGGCAGGGGACAGCTTGTCCACAGCCGGGGTGCAGCCAACGGAGCCCAAGGAGAGGAGTCTGGCCCCTGCGGAGACCCCAGCAGCTTATTTGTTGGGTCTCTGGGCCCACCCCAGAGTCAGGGTTCCAGAGGATTTGTGGTAGGACGGACTGGGGTCGCTGAGAGGTGACTCTGACAAAGGCTTCTCCGCCAGGAGGGGTCATTGAGGTCATTGAGGTCAGAGGTCAGAGGAGCAGGGGGTGGCCAAACCAGAGACAGAGGCTGTGAGACCTCTGAGATCTGGCTTGGTACCTTCCCTGCATACCTGGGTTCAGCTGTCTTCCTCCCTGGCTGCGTGCTCAGCCCCTCTGGAACAGAGGTTCAGAGAGGCAAAGTGACTAACTTAAGGCCACACAGCCAGTCAGTGGCAGAACTGATGCTGCCTTCTGCGACCCAAGATCTTTGCATTGCTCCGTGCCATTGAGGAACCTGATTGGGGTATTCCCACGGAAGGAGGAAAGGGGCTGAGGTCTGGGAGTGTCTGTTTGAAGCATTGAAAGTGACTGGGGTCACAGTGATAGCACAGTGGGGAGAGCACTGGCCTTGCACACAGCTGGCCCGGGTTTGATCCCCAGCATCCCAGGAGGTCCCCAAGCACCACCAGAAATGACCCCTGAGTGCAAAGCCAGGAGTAAGTCTTGAGCACTGCTGGGTGTGACTCCAAGACAAGAAGAATGCCAGAAAGGAGAAAAAGACTTGGGAGAGAGCTCAGGCTGAGAACACGGCTCTAACATGTGTAGGCCCCTGGTTCCAGCCCTGCCCCCACCTGGTTCCATGAACACAGCTGCCAGTGGCCCTGAGACCCCCAAAACCAAAGTCAGACCCAGGAGCCTGGTCTCTAGGGGCTTGGGGAATCACTTCCTGCACCCTCTTCTACCCTGCAATGCCCGGGCCGGGCAGACTCTGCCTTCTAGCACCCCGAGGATTAAACCAAATCCCACCTTAAGCTCATCTCCCCTCCCTGTGCTAGAGCCTTATGGATTTGTGGGCTTGCAGGGAAAGGGCTGGGGAGCCCTCCTCCAGGAACAGGGTCACCTCTTTGGAGAGGGGGGGCGGGAAATCAGGGTCCTCTGGGCAGGGGCATGGCCCTGTCAGCTGGGAGAGCGCCTGGAAGTGGACGGATTCCAGCTCCTCCTTGGAAGCGCCTTCCTGCAGGGCCACTGCACAGAAGTGGGTAGCTTGGGGGCTGGTCCCTGCATGTCCCCTCCAGAGCTGCTGGAAGCTGGGAGCTCTCCCGAGTGCACGCATCCTGGTGCCGATGGCCTTTCCCAGCGCATTTCAGGAAGCTGCCCGCGGATTCTGAGAGGAGAAGAAAGGAAGGAAGGAAGACGCAAACACAGCGAGGGCCCAGCTGCAGTCCCGCGGGCCCCTCAAGGCGATCAGGCCGGGTCTCCTCCTGCAAGGGGCCAGCGTCCGGGGTGGGGCCCGTCGGTGGAGGGAGGGAAAGGCTGTCCCCAGCACAGGACACATCCACTCCAGCTCTTTGAGTCTCCAAGTTCTCGCGCCCGCTTTGGATTTTCCTTCTGCCTCTGCTCAGCCTGGTGCCAGCTTGTGCGGCTTCTCCATTGTTTCTCTGTCTGAACTGCTGCTGGCTTGGGGGTGGGGAGTAGGCCTGGAGCGACAGTCCAGGGGGCAAGGCACTTGCCCTGCACATGGTGTCCTGGTTCTGATCCCTAGCATCCCATGTGATCCCCCAAGCCTCACCAGGAGTGATTCCTGAGTACAGAGCCAGGATGTGGGATCTCCCCCCCACCCCACACACACGCACAAAAAGCCAACAAACAAAAAGAACAAAAGACAATATTCGGCTGTAGAGAGTACTCAAAGGACTGAGCTGTTGGGGGCCGGAAAGATGGTACAGTGGGACCTGGGGTCACTCTCCGACACCTCATATGGTTGCCCTGAGCACTGCTAGGAGCATCCCTCAAGCAGTGAGCCGGGAGTAGCCCCTGAGCTCCACCAGGTGCCCCCAAAAGATAATAAAGTCAGGCGATGCATCCACGTTGAAGGCTTTGCCAGCGGTGATGCGGAACTTTGCGGCTGCCTCTAGCTGCTCTGTGTTCTTTAGCCCTAAGACTCTTAGACAGGTTGTGACCCCAGCACGTAACTGAATGTAGCAGAGCATCCTCAAGATCTGTTCTATGACAACCTGGCGAGTTTTTATCAGTAAACGTTGTCCTTGCATGCCTCTTTCATATACCTAGACTTGGGGCCTCATAAACATTTATGAGGTACAGAGGGCTGGCAAGTGAATGGGGGGTTTGTCGGGGACACGCGCAGAGGGGAAAGTGTCCCCCCCTCCCACGTGGCAGCCAGAGATCCCAGGCTGGCTCTGGCACCTCAGTGGTCCAGGAACAGAGTATCCAAACAGCAGGGAGAGGCTCCGGAGAGGGAGGTGGCCAGGGGCAGTCCTGGAGGCTGGGACACACTGACCGCAGGGCTGCCAGGAGAGGATTCTCTCCTAGGCCAGCTCTGTCTCTCCTGCCCATGTGGACAGCTCAGTCCAGCAGGTAACCCTAATGTGTGGGTGTAGGAGGGCATGACCAGCCATGAGAACAGTTCACGGTTTGGCAAAGACCCCTGTGTCGGGCCCCGGAGGGAGGCCCCAAGAGAACGTTGAGCAGCTCTGTTGGCTCGCCGGCGCTCAGGCCCTGTGAACTGTCTGGAGTAGGAGTCATTCTGCACTTGGGGCAACGGGGCCTCTACTCGTCCTGCCCCACTGGACCTTGTTCGAGGCTCCACCCCGTCTCGACACCTCCTGGCCGCAGTCCAGGCTGTGCAGGTGTCTGTTGGGGGCAGGAGGGCTGCAGCGAGTCAGCGTGGGAAAGCAGGGACAGACCCCAGAGCGGAAGCTGCTGGAGCCCACATACATGCCGACACCTCTTCCTGCCTGGCTCCCCTGGGGAGGGGACGGAGCACAGGCCAGAGGCTGCTCCGGGCAGGGGCTCTGGGTACGGGGAGGGCTCTGCCTTCTCTACCCAGCATCCAGATGCCTCACTTCCTCTCCCCAGAATGCTGGAGCCGGAGCGATAGCACAGTAGGTAGGGCGTTTGCCTGGCATGCGGTCGACCCGGGTTCGATTCCCAGCATCCCATATGGTCCCCCTGAGCACCGCCAGGAGTAATTTCTGAGTGCAGAGCCAGGAGTAACCCCTGTGCATCACCGGGTGTGACCCAAAAAGAAAAAAAAAAGAGTGTATCCATTTGTATCAGAAAAAAAAAAAGCCACATTGACTCTCCCCTCCATCCACGCTCAGGCCTCGGGCCCCTGACTGTCCAGACCAGGCCCTGGGTTAGCCCTTAGGGTCACAAACACGCCTGCTGGACCTCAGAAGAGGAGGTGGACATGGAGGACATGTGGAAGGTCTGAGTTAGTGTCCAGTGGGTACTGGCCCTTGAGAGGTGTGGCTGTGTATCAGGGGTGCTCTATGATTGCAGGCCTGACCCCCCTTAAAGAAACTCCCCCCAAAGCTGTTCTGATCCGTCCCTTACTGTCTGCCCGACGGCCCTGGGTCTTCGTGCCCAGGACCATGACCACCCTGGTGCCCAGCACAGCTCTGACAGGCCTCTGAAGAACTGAGACGGGGCTCCAGGGTCCTGACACACCCCCGGCTGCCTGCCACCACAGTCCAGATTTGAGCTGAGCCGGGTGGAAAGTGTGGATCCGGCTGGGCCGAGGCCTGGCAGCTGGGAGGGACAGTTTTTCCACTTCTCTCCTGGCTTGGCCGGGCAGAGCAGACGTGGCCTCAGCCGCTGCCGGCAGCTCTTGGCACCCTGGGGCCCAGAATCGGATTTGGGTCTATTGACCACGGGTCTGCCTGGCGGCCTGGAGATGAGGGAATGTACTGATTCCCTCCTGCCCAGCCCCCTCTCCGTCCCGCATGGCTCCTGGTCAGCTCCTGCTGCTCCCTTCCCTGGGAGCCTGGGTGCCCGGGCTGGCCGCTGAGGCGGGGCCGCGCAGTGTGGAGCAGCTGGCATGGAGCTGGCCTGCTGGGAAGGACTCATGCAAATCCGGCGGCTTCCACATGAAAAGAAGCTGTTTGCAATGAGCTGTCATTTGTGGACCTGGGGTGTGCGACCAACTGCCGCAGAGGGAGGCACAAGTGTCGGGGTTGGGGGTGGGG